CTTATATTTATAATAAAAAATAAGATTAATTTTTTAATTTTTTAAAAGAAAATATTAATGTTAATCTAGAGGCACAAGAGTTACAAGAACCACTTCAAAATAATAATGTTACACAAGAGTTACAAGAACCACTTCAAAATAATAATGTTAATCTAGAGGCACAAGAGTTACAAGAACCACTTCAAAATAATAATATTAATCTAGAGGCACAAGAGTTACAAGAACCACTTCAAAATAATAGTATTGAATCTTCAATATTAACAAATGCTACTAGATACCAATATAAAGTACTATTATAAAATAACTCACCTTTATCTCATTGACAACACTCACGCTCACCTTAATCTCATCAATAATGCTCAGCTTTATCTCATCGACAACACTTACCTTCAATTTATCAACAACAATGCTTACCTTCAATCCATCAACAACAACATTTACTTTCAATCCATTAATAACGCTTACTTTCAATCTATTAACAACAATGCTCATTCTCAATTCATCAACAACAATGCTCATCATCAATTTATCAACAACAACATTCATCTTCAATTCATCAACAACAATACTCATCTTCAATCTATCAACAACAATGCTCATCTTTTATTCATCGACAACGCTCACCTTCAATTGAGTCAATTGAACCTAATAACTATATTGAGTATTATCAACAAATTAATATTGAAAAACAACAAGCTCAAAAGATCATTTTTTTAAACAATCTAATAAATGCTCTTATTTTCTATCTGCTGATAATGAAGATAAATCTTCAGAAGATGAATATCTTAACCCTGTAATTTCTAAAGAACTATTACATTCTTTTTTAAATGTGCTAAATACAAATAATATTAATTCTCATTCGTCTAGTAAATCAAAAAATAGTTTCTTTTTTCAAGACAAAACACAACTCTTTCAATAGTTAGAAACATGTAAGGATTTAGTATTACAGGCATTAAATTTAAATAATAATAATAATAATAATAATATATTATCTAACAAGGTTAGTTATAATTATTTACTTTATTACTTTATATAGTATAAAATTATAAATTTTATAATTATAATTT